TCTCTCTCTCTCTCTTAAAAAAAAAGATAAAAATGATCACACTTATAAAGCATTAGGACACGCATTCTTGTTAGAAAGAACACCCAACAGGCAAAAAGAGTTACCACAATGACCACAGGCACTGCCTGACCAGTCATGAGGGACAGCACATCTGAAGAACAGAAGGCAGTAGCAAGAAACAGAGCCTGGAGTCAGGAACCCCAGCCAACTGCCTGCTCATCAACCCAGCTCCCTTAGACTCTCAACTACCTGGGCTCAAGCACTAGGTAGTTGTCTGATTTTGTTGTTATTTTTCCATTTAAACTTCACAATAGCCTCCTGGAGGATTACAGAGAAAGAATTTGTTGATTCCACTTGCCCAACAGTACAATGCCAGTGTCTGCCAAAACTAGAACTCAAATTTGGTTCTATCTGCCTCATAAGCACAGAGTAAAGTCACATCACTTCTGTCAGTATGTCTTCTGATATAAAAAACAAAATAGAGGGCTAAGGCTAGGGCTCAGTAGTAGAGCGCTTGCCTAGCACGTGCGAATTCAATCCTGGGTTCAATCCTCAGCACCACATAAAAATAAAATGAATAAAATAAAGCTATTTTAAAAATGAAATAGAATATAAGGCCGCCTCCAAATATCTCCAGGGCTTTTGTGAGGATCAAATGAACTCATACAAAAGGACCATGAAAACTATTGATAGGCCCTCCTCCTATTTCTCTATCATACTCTGGATTTATCCTGATTATTTCAGTTGCATTGTTATGTACTTGTCTGTTCCTTTATTTCCCCCACCAAAGCATGGAATCTGAAGTTAATAGATATATTTAAGTTGCCAATCATTACACTGTCATACCGTATGCATGTGCAAACGTGTAACAACGAATCCCATCATTTATGTACAATTAGAATGCACCAATAAAAAAATGGAAATAAGTTATCACAGTCATTTAGCTCAAAAGCTCGTATATATTAGGTGCCCAAAATGTCTTACAGAGAAAAATTCTCAAATATAAGTAATGTCTACTTCTGTAGCTTAGAGTGTTCTTTCACCTAAGCTCAATTATTACTAATCATTACACACACACTTTTTCAACACCAACGTCTGCAGGAACTTGAGAGACAGACTTTACAGCAAGCCCCAGACCTACACCAGCAGGGAAGCAGCACAGAACTAGGGCAACAAGCCATTTACAGAGTGCAGGCTTCAGACCCAGCCAGCCATTTACCGTCTCATCTATCCATACAGGGCCAGGACCACCTACCCCCAGGGCAGTTGCTGCAAGAACACAAACAATACACAGGAAACACTCAGCTCAGGACATATAAATGACAGCTGCCCCTCTGCTCTTTACCCTGGGACAGCCACGTGGCACTGTTGCCCTTCCGACAGCCTAGTCTGCCCTCCCCACAAACTGCAGTACAGTGTTCCCAGTGCTCGACCTTCTGTGAACTAGAAGAGCTGGTTTTAAAAAACAGTCTATCTACAGGAAAAGACTCAGGAACCATTCTAAATAAAAAGACTAATTAGCCACTTCTTACAGGGATAATCAGACTGGTCAGCCACATACTAGGTTAGCACATGGGCTGCTTATCCCCTTCTTATACAGACAGACTAACTGCCATTTCTTACACTAAAAACAGGCTGGTCACTGCCTCTCACACTGATCACAGACTGGCCACTGGCTCTCCATGCTTCTCACACTAATGAGCAGACTGGCCACCATACCATGCACTTCCCCTACCTACCAAAGCACACAGCACTGTGCTGTGCAGGAAAGCAAGGAAAGGCTAACTCACTGCCCATGCGCTGAGGTTTCAGGTTCAATTATTGGGGTTTTTTTTGGTCTTAACAAATTCCAGGTTCTTTAGCAACGTTACTTACTTGGCCCATGATTTGTATTTTCTTAACAGCAAACGAACTTATAGTCGAGGGCACATGTGTGGGATCACGGAACCCCACCTAGTGTCCTCTCAGGCGCTCTCCCCCAGACCGTTCCCCTACCACCCCAGGAGCCACTATGGCCTAGACGCTGTTGCCACAGGCTGGTTCCCCACGTTCCCACCTCCATGCACAGGGGCTGGTGTAGCTGTCTTTTGAGGAGTCAGGAGACTCCTCTGCACTCACATGAAGAGCTCGGGGAAGGCGTGCACCCACACGATGGCCTGGGAGTCTTCGTTCCGTGAGGCAACGTTGCCTAAAAACTGCAGGCCACAGCGAAAGGCTGAGGGGCATGAGAAAGAGAGAAAAACAAAGACAGACATCTGATTAAATTCAGTGGACAGACACTCTAATAAGAAATGGTCCCCATGCTACTCAATGAAGCTCTGCTGGTTTCTTTTAAGTATAAAGTCGTCCCTCCACAATGACACTTTGGGTATGACATTAATACGCCTCATCAAACAATACACTTTACACAAAACTTACTTCTTAACAAGACTATAACTATAACACAAATATCACTGGAATACAGGCTTCAATTAAAAGAGGGATATTTGTAGGCTGGATTTTTAGAACTCTAACTCCACACTGTTTAAGAGAGATTTTTGGAAAATGAAAGGTAGGGAAATACTACAAGTTAAAGACTAGCAAAAAGATATACCAGGTGAATACCAATCAAAAAGAAGCCACAGAGCACTTAAAATTAGAACACACTTGCCCACCAAGCCCAAGGCCTGGGCTCAATTCCTCAACAGCAAAGCAAAAAATAATAATAATAACCTTAACACAAAAAGAATTATTGAAAACTTTTTTAAGATAGCCACTAGGAAATGACTTACCAGAAAGACCCAATGATTTTAAGTTGGACTGCTCCTGGTAACAGTGGCGAGGGCACACCTAAGGAGGACTGACATAGTGAAGAGGACAGAGGCCCACCCACAGTAAAGGGGCCATCAGGACACCCTTCTAGCAACTCACAGCACAGACAGGCAGAACGCCATGTTCACCAGATCTCAACACGACTCAGAAACGACCTAATGACATCAAACTACAGAATGCCAGCAGAAAAGCCAGAACGCAGACAACACCAAGAACTGGGGAGGACGCGGAGCACCAGGAACTCCCACGCACTGCCCTGGGGATGCAAAACGGGCCAGCAAACTGGAAAACAGTTTGGCAACTTCTTACAAAACTAAGCATCTTTTACCACTGGATCCAACAACTACACTCCTTGATATTAAAACACTGGGCCTAAACACACACAAAACACACACAGTGTTTATAGCAGTTTTTTTTTTTTTTTTAAAAGAGAGAGAGAATTTTTTAATATTTATTTTTTAGTTTCCAGTGGACACAACATTGGTATTTTATTTTCATGTGGTGCTGAGGATCAAACCCAGCGCCCTGCGCATGCCAGGTGTGCACTACCGCTTGAACCACACCCCCAGCCCTACAGCAGCTTTATTCATAACCTCCAAAACTTGGAAAAAACCAAGGTGTCCTTCAGCAGGTGAAGGGATAAATCATCCGTGCTCTACTCAACAACGGAATACTATTCAGCATTAAAAGGAAATGTGCTCTCAAGCCAAGCCAAACAAAAAAAAAAAAAAGGAAGAAACTTAGGTACATATTACCAAGCTGAAGGAGTCATATGAAAGAGCTAGACACTGTATGATTGCAACCCTGTGGCACTCAGGAAAAGCCAGAAGTGAGGAGGATTTTTTTTTTTTTAATTAAATTAAAAAAATAAAAAGAGCTAGGCAGGATGAACAAGCAGCGCATAAAGGGTTTTTAGGAATGAAACGACTCTCCATGACAGTCCACTGGTAGACACTGATCACACCTTTATCCAGATCTACAGAATACACAGCACCAACAGAAGTCCTAATTAAACCAGGGACAGAGGGTGACGATGGCCTGTCAACATAGGCTTATCAGTTGTAACAAGGCAGCACACTGGTGGGACGTGTTGTGCACGTGTCAGGGAAGCATTTAGGTATGAAACCTGTTCCTGCCTCTCAATTTGTGTATTTAAAAATAAAGCCCATTAAATTTTACAGTAAAATAAAACTGTTTACTAACAACTACTCCCCTACAAAAAGGCTTCTGCTCATTTCCCAACCTCAACAAGCACTTTTCTTTCTTTCGTTTTGTGTTTGCAGTACTGAAAACAGAACCCAGGACCTTATGAGTGCCAGGCAAGCACTCTATCACTCAGCTCCTCCCCAGGTAGCCCTGTGAGATGTTACAGGGGCAGCCAATAGGTTACTGTGGAGATGAAATAGGAACTCACACTCACAGTCTTGAATATGCAATAGAAAACGTGGTGAGTGCTCAGCTGACCACCTCTTGACCAGCACACAGGTGGGGATAACTAAGGGTGGCTTAAAAAGACAGACCTTCCAAGCAAGTAATGGAAACGTGCTCCCGTGCTCACTCAGACTCTGAATGAAAACCCCAAGTGCTCATGGGACCCACCCTCCCTGAATACTGCCTCTTGAGAGAGTAGTGATCCCACGCTGAAGCACAGAGAGTGAGGCCCAGGGAGGTAAGTAACCTGACCAAAGTTCCACAAGTATCAAGCACCTCACTTCTGGTTGCATCCCCGTGATGGTATCAACCCACATGGTAGGACTGTTAACTCTTGTTACCAGAAGCTCTAGGTAGTTACATCCAAATTTGATGAATAATAAAGAAAAATTCAACAATAACAAGAACAAGAAAAAACCTGCAGAAAAATATAGTCTTCTTGGAGCTGGAGTTGTGCCTCAGTGGTACAGTGCTTGCCTAGCATGTATGAGGCCCTAGGTTCAATCCTCAGCACCACATATAAATACATAAATAAATAAAAAAGATCCATTTACAACTTAAAAAAAAAGAATATATAGTTCTCAAGAAAATATAGTATCTCATAATAAATAACAGAGTATGAGACAATTCAACAAATTTTAAAGGACTGATATAGCACAGTGGCGCATGCTTATAATCCCAGCTACTCAGGAGGCTGAGGCAGAAGGATCACAAGTTCAAGGCCAGCCTTAGCAACTTAGCAAGACCTTGTCTGAAAATACAAAGGGTTGGGAATGTAGCTCAGTGGTACAGTAGGCCTGTGTTCAATCCCCAGTACCAAAAAATAAATAAAAAAGAATAGAAAGGGACTTCATGTCCTAAATACAAGCATCAACAAAAATCCACAGCACACAGTGTAACTAACAGCCAGCTGCAGAGACAGAGAACGCTCCTCTAAGAGGGTGGAGTCCAAGGCCCACTGTCACCACCTTCCAGTCAACACTCTACTACAAATCTCCTCAGAAAGACAAATCAAAGACCTAAGAACTGAAAAGGAGAAAACCACATTGTCATCTCCCCCAACAGATGAAAAAATTTGTGTAGAAAAATTTTAAAATGTGTAAGTTGCTTGCATTCATAAATGAGTTATGGAAGCTGCTAGACAAAAGTATTTTCAAAACCAATAACATCTCCATGTATGAAGAACAAACAAAAAAGACCATTTATAAAAGCATCAAGGGTACAACCAGTACACAGCAGCCCCAGGGAAAAAGCCAGAAAGCCTGCCTGAGAGCAGTCAAGGAAAGGACCAAGTGCAGGGCTCCACGGGCTCACCCAGCAGAGGGTTCAACCGCTTCCAGAAGTGCACACAATCCCGGCTGCATCCCACAGGGATCCATGTGTCACTCCACATACCAGAGGCACCCACCTGTGTCTGCCTGCGTGGGGCACCCACCTGTGTCTGCCTGCGTGGGAAGACACAGGAGCCAACAACAGTGCACACCACCCAGAGAGGAGGAGGCAGGAGCATCAAGTGCAGCAACTGTGGGAAGACAGCAGGGTCGGTCCTGGCAGGCCTGGACAGAACAGAACCGGCGTGAAGGCAGGTAACTGAGTAGACAGTGGCCTTTCAGAGAACAGCATGGACAACCAGGTACAGCTACGGAAACACCTGCACTGAACTGCTCACACAACACAGAAGTTCAACTCCAAATACCAACCTAAACGTAAAAATCACCGAGAGAAACTTGTGGAAAACTCTGGAGAAAGATTTTTCAAACAGGACATAGAACGGTACTCGTTACAAAAAAAATTAATAAACTGGACTATATTAAAATAAATAACATCTCAATATTGATACTTTTCTCAAAAAAATACCATAGAATAAAAGCACAAGGGAAACTGGCACCGAGGTCCCCTTCATACCCACCAGACTGGCACAACCTGAGTGATAAGATCCCATGAGCCAAAGCACAGGCTGACTTTAAAATACACTGGGGTGTTCAATTTTGCCTCCCAGATCTAAATAAATCCTATCTTCTCTGTAAAGACAAAGGTGGCCTTGCAAAGACATGGGCTGCCCATGGCCTGTTGAGTCATCTCCAGAGCATTGGAGGGGCGCTGGAGGGAGGACGGGCTCCTCCAGGACTGGCCCTCCTCCAGCCATGCCCTGGGGAACACCTTCTCCAGGAGGGCTCAGCTTCCTCAGAAAACATTACCAGCAGCGCACAGCAGCCAGCTTCCTCAAGAAGCCTCCCAGCAAGGACCCCTAGTGCTAAAGGGTAGGTCTCCAGCAAATTTCCCTGGAACACCACTGTCAGTGACTTGTGCAGCACCCAATGAGCCAGCACTAGGCTCTGTGCAAAGAGGTGTGGGATCTGAGCCCCAGGGGAAGACGCTCCCCCAGTCCTAGGGGTAGAGGCCCCTGGGCCTCGGCAACTCTGGGGTTTGTCAGCCTTCTCTTTCTTACTTGTTCATCCCTTAGTCCAAGCCTTTGTGACAGCAGTTCTTTACATTAAGTACCTTCCCTGTCCAGACTACAAGGTGGCTTCCATGTGCTGGTTACCCCCATTGATAGAATGGATGCCCAGGAGTGGGGACCTGAGAGAGAAAGGAACCCAGTGAGAGCAAGAGAAGCAGCAGCAAGCACAAGCTTTAGAAAATGACAAGAGTCAGAACCCAGTCAGGTGACAGAAACCAAACTGGTTATTTTAACAAAGAAAATTTAATGCAATGAATCGACCAGAAAGAGCAGCTCTGGGGTAATAGAGGCAGGCTGCACAAAACAGCCTCCAGCCTCAGAACTGGAGGAACGAGGGAGGGCAGGGTGTAGAAGCCCAGAGCTCCAGGGCCCTGCAGGGCTGCAGGCCAGGCCTGTAGAGAAAGGGCCTTCTCCAGAGGGGCTCACAGAGGAAACTCGCAAGTGGAGCAGGGGCACTCAGGGCCTCACTAGGAAGAGCCACCTGGCCTGTCAGGTCCACCTCCACGGGCTCC